AGTATTCCTAGACCAGTGTCAGGAGAACAATCAAACATAAATCATTTTTATTTCATCAGACAGATTCCCCTCTGTTCTTATGATCAGGCACGTATTTCATAAAGTCTCATAAAATCTCCTCTTGGATTAACCAGAAATGTTTGCTGGTGATTTGAGTGTGTTTGTAGTAGTATAACACATGAATAAAAATAATCATTGTAATTACTTGGATTACATATAAGGAAAGGACACTTTTAAAACTTCAAATGACATGAACTATGCAAGAAGTTAATACAGCAGGAGGTATTCACCAGACAAGATGAAATCATAGTTCTACTTAAAATATAATGGTAAAATATAGACCTCAGTTAAGTGGTGGTTTGTTATATACAACACCAAAAGTACAACAAAATAGAAAACTGACTGACATAAAAAAAAATTTAAAACTTTTGTGCTTCAAAAGACACCATCAAGAAACTGAGAAAACAACCCATAAAAGAGGACAATGGTTTTTTGCAAATCACATAAGAGACTCACTGGAATAAGGGACTTGTTTCTAGAATATGTAAAGAACTCCTACAGCTTAGTAATAAAAAGACAAATAATCCAACTAAAAATGGATAAATGGTCTGTAAAGACAGTTCGTCAATGAAACTCTACAAATGGCCAATAAACACGTGAAAGGATTTCGTTAGTCATCAGGAAATGCAAGTCAAACACACCCAAGATACTCCTTTCACACCCACTAGAATGGCCACAATCAAAAAGAGAGACAATCATAGGTGTCAGCCCAATGTGGAAAGATCAGAAGATTGGTACATTGTTGCAGGGAACACAACAGGATGCAGTAGCTTTGTAAAATAACCTGACCGTTCCTAAAAAAGATTATATACAGTTACCATCTGATTAAATAGTCTTATTCTTGAGTTCCCAAAAGAAATGAGGGCAGATGCCTATAAAAACTAATACATACGTGTTCCTAACAGCTTTATTCACAATAATCAAAAGGTGTGAACCTCTCAAATATGTGCTGATTAATGAATGGCCCCCCAAAATGTGGTATACAAAGTATCTGCACAATGGAATATTATTCAGCCACAAACATGAATGAAGTACTGAAACATGCTACAACCTGGGTGATCCTTGAAAAGATATCCTCTGAGCAGGAAGTCAGACTCAGATGGCCATGTATTATATAAGTCTGTTTCTATAAAAATACCCAGAATAAGCAAATCCACAGATGGGAAAGAAAAGTAGCAGTTACCTTCAGCTAGGGAGGGTAGAAGGAAGACATAAGAGACAGATAAGAGAAGAAAGCTTGCTTTCAGATATAATGAAAATGTTCTAAAATTGATTGTAGCAATGGATGTACACCTCTGGGAATATAACTTTAAAAACCACTGAATTATACTTTAAATGGATGAGCTATATGTATATGACCCACATTGCAATAAAGCTGCTTATTTATATATAGAAGTTAAGTATCCCTTATCCAAGTGCTTGAGGCCAAAAGTGTTTTGGATTTGGGATTCTTTTCAGATATGGAAACATTTGTAATATTCACAATGAGCTATCTTGGGGATGGGGTTCAAACCTAAACATGAAATTCATTTATATTTCACATGCATTTATGCACAGACCCTAGTTAATTTTATATTTAATAAATTAATATTATTTGATATATTTCATAAGGTACTTAATAAATTTATGTGTTTAAGAAATCTGTGCATGAAACAAAGTTTCATAGTGTGGAATTTTCTACTTTATGCTGTTTTGTTGGTGCTCAAAAGGTTACAGGTTTTTGAGTAGTTTGCAAACTGGGTTTTGGAGTTAAGGAGGGTTCAACTTGTCATGAGAAGTATGTCTGCTGGATGATTCTAAAGCATCAGAATTTTTGCCGTATGTCATTTCGTCCTCACAGCCACTCTGGGAAGTCAGTAACATGTCCTCATGTTGCAGGTGATGAGACTGACACCCAGGGAGCCCCGATATTTCATCTGGGACACCCAGGCAGTTGGCAGAGCCAAGATACCATGTCCGCTTTATTGGACACCAAAGTCCAAGTCTGCCTGATTACATGTGCTGGGCAGGGGGAGAAAAGAAGAAAGCAAAGGCCACCAACAGCTGGTAACCCTGAGGCTAGGGTAAGTGGTTCTGATTTAACACAGAAGCTCATAAAGAGGCTGCATGTCTTTGTGATAAGAGGGGTCATTTTTTAATTTTTGAAAACTCTTGAGATCAATTAATAATTTACAAGGGAAATAAGTGAATGGTAAAGCTATCATAAGGTACAAGCGTAGGGAGGTTCCTAATGGCCTTCAGCTAGGTACCCTCGGGAAACATACACCAGCCCCTAGCCAGAAAAGCAGTCAGGGTTATTCCTGCAGGGCCCGCAGGAACCAGGGCACCTGTTTCTCCAGCCACCTTTATGGAAGCCACCCTCAGAGCTCCTGAAAGGGAAAAGCTCGAAGGAAGGTTTCAGAGCCAGCTGTCCCGAACATTGACTGCCTTCACAACCCAGGATGTTTTCCATCTGCTCTCAGGGTTATGGGAAGTTACAGTGATGGATTCAACCTGCTTATCAATTATTAACTCCTCCCCAGAGCTGATCAAACTGCTTCTGGCTCCCTTAGCTCCCATTTAAACACACAGTCACACAAACACACATGGGCTTAACACACGGAACTCAGAATGACAAAGGAAGCACGGGTCACATTCTCCATGGTCGCAGCTAGGGACGTGGGCAGTGACGCACTTGTCAGGCTGTGAAGAGGTCCTCGGTACCATCGGAGGCTGAACAGTGCAGGCGTTCCAAGCCACGCAATGTGTGCGATGCTCTTGGGGAAGAACTCATGCTGCTCCTAAGGACCAGATTAAAGAGCACAAGTCTCCAAGGACACCTGAGTGCTTTTTTGAAATCCTGCAAAATCACAGCCAGCACAATGGAGCCGCAGGAAACAGTTGGGAATTTTATTTAAAGCACTATTAATGAGGAAGGGTCCACAGCGAGGTTTCCTAGTGCTTATGAATATTTATTACAGTGCATTCTTAAAATTAACCCAAAAAATTAGGTCCAGTACAAATAGGAAACAGATTTCTAAGAGTCAATCATATGTTTACATTATGCAAATTATAGTTAAAGACTTATAACCAGAATATCATGAAATGCCAAAAAGGGGAAGTCGGGGGAGGGCTGCTGATATTTGAATTATTTTCCCAAAATGGACAAAATTATTTTCAGAGTTCCTGACAATCTGTGCACTGAGAGGCTCCTGTGGGCACGTCTTTTACTTTTTCTAACCTGGAAATGGAGTCACATACCCGAGGCAGTATCAGAAGCTCACGGTTGCTACAGCCCATTTATTCACAGTACTGAAGGCTCTGCTACACTGAGACGGGAACACCCTGGCCAAATCTCAGCCTCCCTCAGCCCTGGAGCAATGAGGAGGCTTTGCTTAGAAGCCAAAGACTCCCAGACAGCTAGCTAAGTGGCCCATGCTTCACAATTAACACATTAACACGAGGGTCAGTGTCACACGCTGAATAGCTTGCCCCAAAGATACCACCTTGAGCTTTGCAATACCAGCAGAGCAGAAAATCCTCTGGGTGGAAACCTGGACAGACACACAGGTGACGGGCAAAAGTCTGAGTGCACGGGAGGTGGGGAGCAGGAGGAGCCTCCATTTGCATCCTGAAGCTAAAGCCTGACAAGCACACCCCGGGGTGCAGCTCAGGGGTAGAACTGCGGCCTGGCATGCACGAGGCTCTCTGGGCTCCGGTCCCAGCACCACAAAAGCAGAAACCTGTAACTCCAAACTTGCACCAGCAGCCCCATCGCTGAAGGAGGGCCAACAAGTGAAAATGCTACCAGGCCTTCTCAGGAAATCAGTTCATACTCTCGTGAGCAGACTGTAAAACCCAGGGCGGTATAATAAAAGTGTAAAGTTACTAAACAGGATTAAATTTAAATTATAAACCAGAGCAGTCAGCAACAAGGTGCCTCCCTTTGCCTCCCAGGTGCCATGGGCTCGGGGTAGACTCCAGGCCCTAGATCTTCAGCTCCCACCCGGATCCTCAGGCCCCGCCAGCAGCCCCAGCTCACAGCCCCAGAAGCAAAAGACAGAGCCTCTTCTGCAAACTGAGGAGCTGGCCACAGGGGTCTCTTCATAAAGCACAGGGAGACTAAATGCGCTACAGACTGCAGAAACGTCACCGCCAGAAACAAAACCCCACTCAGTCCTCCCTCCCCACCCCCCTCCCCCTCCTCCAGACGCTCGCGGTGTGGCCTGGGAGGAGCTCCTTGACCACTCCCCCCTGCACCTGGGGAACAAGAACAGTCCCTGCAACTCACAGGGCCCTGGCGATAGTGCAGGGCAGTGTCCGCTCCAGCGCACAGTCTTCTGTGGGTTGCTCTTCCTAGGAACAGCGAGTGCACACTGTCAGGCACGGTAGCACAGGCCTGTAATCCCCACTACCCAGGAGGCTGAGGCGGAAGGATTGCCAGTGTAAGACCAACCTGGGCAACGTAGCCAGACAAAATAGAAGAAAAGAAAAATAAAGGACTAGGAGTAACACTTGGTGGTAGTGTGCTTGCCTAGAACGTGTGATATTCAATCACCAGTAACACACACACACACACACACACACACACAGAGCAAGGGCCACCCATGAATGCAGCTCTGAGTATTGCCACTGTGAGCAAAATACATATACAAAAACTAATAGTGCACCATCGGATCCCTAAAGCTGAAAATGAACCATCTCTGCCTTCATGATCTTGTAAGTGAGTCTAGGAGCACAAGCATCATTTCCTAGATGTCTGATTTCATCCACTGCACGCAGTGAAATCAGGACCCTTGTTCTGAAAATCCAGGGCTGGAGGTGCAGCTCAGTGGTAGAGCACTTGGCTAGCATTTGAGAGACTCTGTCCTCAATACCCAGCACTACAGGTGCGCGCGCGCGCGCCCACACACACACACACACACACACATGCACGCGCATATCCATGAGCAACCACCAACCTGTCTTTGTGTCCCGGGGATTAACCAAAACCAGTATTTTGTGTTGAGGTTCATCCCGGTAAACAGTGCAAAAGCAAACAGATGAAGTTTCAAGCTTAACCTGGAAAAAAAAAAAAAAAACAATTCTTTTGGTCTTTCATCATGCGAAGGGCACAGGAAATTACTGAACAGCTAATTAGCACACATTCACTGAAAGAACACGGTTTCACAGAAGTTAGTGTAATAAGACACAGGCAACAGGAAAACAGAGACCCTACCCACCCGGGCTCACCACTGGAGCAACTTGGCAAAGGTTGTCCGTCCCCTAAACCTCCTCCCATGGTCACTTGTCCTTCTACGAAGGTTGCCTAAACACCTCGTCTGCTGGCAAATGCCCTAGGGCCCTCTCCTTCCGGCCAACTTCCTACTCCAGCAGGTTCCTCCATCCTAATCCTCCTCGGGCTCCAGCCTACAACAGCCGAGGGCCACACACACGCCTCTGATCTGTACCTTCACTGTCCTTCCCAAGAGCTGCTGGCCACCCAGGATGTCACCTGGCTGCCTGCTGCCTCGCTCTGGTCCCCACAAGCAGTCTCAAGAAACACACAGCAGCTCTGGACCCTCGAAGCTCGGCCCCATGCCTTGTGGCTGCCAGGTGAAAAAACTCAACTTGGGCCACCTATTTACTTAGACAAGAGAGGAAAAGGGGTCTCTAACACTGGGACTGTCCCAACTTTCAGGAGCCTTCATCCGAAGCATTCTCTGTGGCCATCAAACCCTCTGACCCCACCCTCTAAAGCAGAAGGTCAACACATTCCATTACCAAGTCTGTTTTGAAAACCGAGAAGAGGATAGGAAATTAGAAAAGAATGTGTCGGCTGAGCTGGGCAGGCAGGTTGCTTGTAAAAATTTACAGCAGCCTCTACGGTTTCAGAGAACTATTTCCTAACAAATCCTGGGATCCATAAACGTCTCCGTGCCTTCTCCCCTTTCTGAGGTCACTTTCATGAAGAGTCCTGCAGAGGTTATCTGAGGCTAGGGTTGTTCACAGCACGGCCACTCCACACGGTCACTAGACAAAATGCTCACAAAGCGTCCAACCAACCTGGGAAGATGCTTATTATAGACAACATTGCAGAGAGTGAACTTCCCTTGAAAGAGAATGCACAAAATACAAATCAAAAGAAAACGCATTAAACTGTTTACAGTGGTCAACCACGGCTGGTGGTATTTGCTCTAACTTTAGTCCTGGCTCCCAAGTGCTACACAACAAATGTGTGCTGTTTTACGACCAGAAATACCACTAAGTGTTATTGTGCCTGAAATGTGACAGGACAATCACCGGGCTGGAAGGAAGAGTTCATTAAGAAAATACTTAGACCGATCCTCAAACCTCCTCTTCATCTTTCTGCGTTGGAAAAACTCCCCACACAAAAAGAAAAGTGAAACCTGCTCAAAGCAAGGAGGAGGTCTAGGTTGGAGGCAGTTTGTTAAATAGCAGGAAAACGCTCGCATCTCATAGGGAACCCCCCAATGGTAGGAAACCAAAGGCTCATTTTCATGAAATTATTTTCTTTAGAAGGAGAAGAAGCCAGCCACTGCAGCATCTCCATGGAATCCAAACAGCTTAGCTTAGTAACTGTCTTCTTTTATGTTTCTGTTAACTACGTTCGTTTTAGTCACTCACTGAATATCCTCCTGGTGTTTTTTTTAAGTAGTGCTAAATGCACAAGCAGTCTGGGAAGTAGCTTACAGACAGGGCACTTACCTAGCGTGACAAAGGGTTACTCCTTAAAAAAAAAATGTGGAACCATAGAAATGGGTGCAATAAAAGCAGACAATTGAAACTGCGCCTTAAAGAACTTCTGCGCGAGCTCTTGCGTATCACTGCCCTTCTGACTGACCCGCAGGCTTTCCATCCACCCTGGCATTGGCAGCCCGCAATCCTTGGGCTCCCTAAAAGGAATCCCCAGGTCTCGACGCAGGGCTTGCGCAATTCTGGAGCAGCGCCACTAGGGGGCGCCGAAAGCGTGTGCGGATTGCGACCTCCCTCTCCAACCACCAACCTGAGTCACCCCGGGAGAGCTGGGGTCTTCGCCCCTGGAAACTACGGGCTTTAAGTCCCAGGGAAGCCGCAGTTTACAGGCGCACACCACGCTGTTTCCATTAGCCCTGTACCAGCTTCCTGCACTCTGCCATATCCCTGACCTCCTCAACCAGCTCTGCCCGCCAGAGAGCGAGGGTTTCCCGCCCGAGTGAGATCTTACAGGACTCCCACAAGAAATCTGGGTCTCTTTATGCAGATCGACCTCGAATCTGAAAGGAAGGAGACCGGGTAGGGACCGCCAGAAGTTACATCCTCTTGTTACTTACTTTCCGTGGGGAGGAAGAAAATCCTAGCGGTGACACAGTTTTACAATTTTACCCACAGTCCCACCAACCCAACGGGTAGAACACTGCATTTCTCTCTGTTCCTTTCTATCCCCTGCCCGCAATACATTGAGTCAGTGCCGAAAATCACAGTCGACAGAACCTGACTCCGAATCACAAGCCGTTCAGACTCAATCGAGGAAACAATGCCCTCGTTTCACAAACGGAGACACTGAGACCTAGGCAGGTGTTTCATGCAGCATCTCATTTAATCCTCATAAAGCCACTATGAGATAAGTACTATTATTGTCTCAGTTGTAGAGATGAGAATTCCAAGACCAGAGAGGGTAAGACACTTGTTCAAGGTCACACAGCAAGCAAGTGGTAGACATAGGACTTCCACAGGCTCCTTGCTTGGCACAACCATACTCAAATTCAGGATTCCAGAGTCCCAAAACAAGATTCCTCCTGCTCCCTCAGGTAGAATTATTTATTCACTCCAACACAGTTGCGTTGTGTTGTGTTCTAAATCTAGAGCACTCCTCTGTGACCTGCTACTCTCTAAGTTAGACTTGACGGGAATGTCACACCTACCTGTTCCCCAGTGGGAAGAGAGAAGCTCTCCGCTGAGGGCCGAGTCCTGTCCCCAAGCGAAGTGTAGTAAGCCAGAGCCAGAGCTGCCTCCCGCTGGCCCTCCAGGTCATCTTCCAGAGCGTCCACGGGGTAAGTGCCTGCTCCAGGACAAGGGCACAGAATGGTATTGTTTTTACTCTTTCGCTAAAGAGAAAATAACTTTTTTTGAAGATTTAAAAACAAAGAATATTTGCTTTTAGCACGGTCTCTCATGTATGGGAAACCCAAACTATAACTAAAGAGGGAGATAGCAGATAGATAACAGGACACAGGGCAACAGATCCTTCTCAGATGGGGAGGGGATCAGGAGATATGGGAGGGGCAGGGAGGGGAGAAAAGGAACTGTATGTTTTTTCATTTTATTTTATTTTTGTCTTTCTGAGACAGGGTCTTGCTATGCAGTTCAGGCTGGCCTTGAGCTCACTTTGTAGCCCAGACTGATCTCGAACTTCCAATGATCCTCCTGCCTCAGCCTCCCGAGTGCTGGGATTACAGGCGTGCGCCACCACACCCGGCTAGGAACCGGATGTTATGCACCTGTACGGACTCCACTCCGTGTGAACATTAGGTGATGCAGACATGGACTAATAAAGAAAGAACCCCAAACAATGGTGCTAAGGTGCTGCATAAAAATATAACACTTAGCGATTACTGAATTTGGATAGTGGCCTTTCAACATTCACTGTAGTGTGCAGTGAGCCTTTCTCTCAGCTTGCTAATGTTGATAATAAAAGCTGAAACATGAAACAATCAAACGGCATCTCTCTATTCCATTATAGACCGTTTAGGAAATGTTTTCATTCACCCCAGCTACCGAGTGACTTCCCAGATGCTTCCAGCGGCCAGCATGGTGGGCTGGTACCTCGGAGACTGAGAACAGCTGGTCAGAGTCGTGGGAACCATCACGGTCCAGGTGGGGCTCTCCTTACCTTACAGCACGGTGCGGGTCCCTAAGATTTTGCCAGTTCTGCCCCTGGCCGAAAGTCACAAAGTGTGGGCAGCAGTTTGAATGAAGAGAAAACCACACATTGAGCACAGATAAACTACTGAACGTACCCGTTTGCAAAGAAATCAGGTGCAAGTTAACTGGCGCTCACTGCCTCCTGCTTGCTGTGCTTTTAGGGAAAACGTCCTAGAATAATCACACAGACCGATAACAGCCAGTTCAGCTGGACCGCACCAAGCAGGTACCCCCTCTGCAAGGCCCAGCCACAGTACCTGGCGCTGGCTGCATGCAGACCCCACCTCTGCCTTTGATTTGCTTCTGGCCTCCTACAAAGGGGGAGAGCTGCCATATCAGCTGCCTGCACCTCGTTTTTCTCATGCGATTCCTCTTCTTCCCCATCCTCCCTTTATTCCTCCTCTCCCTTAGCTCCTCCTCCTCTTCCCCCCAAAAAGGTCGACCTGGACGAGACCCACCCTCAATACCCCGTAGAACCGCGGCCCCCACCCTTCTCTCAGACGTCCCTTCACCCTGCAGCCGCTTTGCTGGAAAGAGAGACAGCCGTCAGCAGCAAAAGCGTCAGAATGAATTTCTGCCCAGATGAATTTCTCTGCAGCTCAGGAGTTACCAGAGGAAAAGCTCACAGAGCGCGGAGGACGGCAGGGGCCACAGTGGCCGGGACATGATCTCGCATCATCCTAAGCCCTGAGCTCTCACTTTCCACAGTGAAAATGTCGGCCAGCCTGGGGAGGTAAATGACACGGGGAAAACAGTGGCCTCCGGATCTGCGGATTCTGCATCCACGCATTCGACCAACCACAGGCAGGAAAGGCTGGGAGAAAATCACATCTGCATGGAGCAAAAGTGGACTTCTTTCCTATTAGTCCCTACCCAGCACCACGTAGCAAGTGCTTGCATACATTTGCATCGTATTAGGGGTTATAAATCCCCTGAAGATTAAATGTCCTAGGTGGTGCCTAGGTCATAAATCAATGCTCCATTGTATTTAAGGGACTTGAGCACCCACAGATTTTGATATAGGGAGGCAGGGCCAGCAAGCTAGTTCCTCATGGATACTGAAGGACAACTGTACATTGTTCCTCTTTTCCATTGTTTAAAGACTTGACATATGAAATTCACACACACACACGTTGCAAATGTCTCAACAAAGACACAGACACGACAGTCCATTTAGTGGCGATCAGCGCTTCAGTGACGAGCTTTGGGATCTCTGTCTACAAAGGAGACAGAGCCTCCCTGTGGCCAAGATAGTGTGCAGAAGGCATACATTTGTGTGCGTGCACATGTGTGTGTGTGTGTGTGTGTGTGTGCGCCACACACGTGTGGCCTGTGTCCTCTCCGTACATGAACACATTCTGGGAAGCCCAGTCTCCTTCCCACCTTGCTGAGCCAGGAAATCCTAGCACCAATCAGATCTGCAGGGCCCTGGGCTGACCTTCCTTACCCTCACTGGGCCCTTCACTGGGCAGCCCAGGAGCTGGATGGATCCGAAGCAGAGATCCTGTTTCTCACTCAGGGATCACTTCAGAACTGTTTCAGAGACCAAACCCAGGCTGTGCCATCCCCCACCCTGACATCCGTCCCTAACTGAGTTCCGGGTCTCAGCCTCCCGCCTCCTGTCCACCCACTCCAAACAGAAGAACAGAAGACACTAACATTCTTCGGGATCCAGATGCTGGCCAGCTGCTGAGCACCCCTGCCCTGGTTCCACAGAATCCTGCTCCCCTCCACCTTCCAAGGAGGAAGCTAAGACCTCACAAGCAGGTGGCCGCACCAGGCAGGAACCCAGATCCGATTTCAGAGTCTGTGCCCAACCTCAGATGGGGTCGGAGACCTGACTGAACCCATGTCCTCCGCTGTCCCACTCCCACGGCCTCAGCTCCAACACCCGGGGGGTGCTCGACAGTCCTGCCAGGCGCCTTCTGCTGCTCCAGCCTCCAGGTTCACCCAGATGCAGCCAGCACGGTGGGGAGCCTTCCCTGAGCCCTCAGAGGAAAGGGCTGGGACTTCAGGGAGCACTGAGTCCTGTGTTCAGGTCACAGCTCAGCCTAGAAGGAGACTGATGCTGCTGGCCACTCCCTTGTCCTCAGCAACCTGCTCCCACTTAGCTTTGTTCTTCATCATCCTCACCCGTGGCCCCGACACAAGGAAAGCTGCCGGGGCTTTCTGAGCTCAACACAGCTTCCAGTCTCACCCAGCCCCGCAGGAAGGCTCCTCTCTTTGCCTTTCCCATCCAAAGTCCTTAGCACTTTAAGGCGGTGGCTCACCCATGCCTTCCCAAGGAACTGCTGTTCGTTTCCTCAAGTTGCTCAAGGGGCTTCTTAAGGGTAGGCAGGAAGATTGGGTGAAGCTCCCAATAGACTGGAACACCAGGAAGAGGACCAATTCAACCCTGAGCCCCCTCGGGCGGTCTGAACCAGTTGCTATGGCTACTGCTCTCCGAAGCTCCCAGCATCACCAGCTCCAGCAGGAAGGAGAGCTCCGACCTTGATTTTTACTCTGCTGCTGGCCCTGGCCCTTGAGGGAGATCTCAGTCAGATCTGGACCCTCAGTCCTGTCCACTGAGGTCGCAGGGCTGACGGAAAAGCATCATCGCCCACCGCACAGAGAAGCTGACATTGGTTGGCCCCTTGAGAGTGTTCCTCCTGTCAGCAGGAGTGGGAGGACACTGTGGTCCTCAGGGAGGGATCACTCCTCCTAAGGCTACCAGGCCAGAAGCCTGGCTTCTGCCTGATTTCCCCTGGCTGCCAAGAGTCGCCTGGCATCTCTCTGGTTGTGTGTGGTCAGGAGAAACGCAATGTATACGTTTTGCTCCTTACAAACCATGAAATCATTTCCCCTGCAGGTTATGCTGCCTGGGCCGTCAGACCCCCTCAAAGAACTCTATGAACAATGGCCTCCAGACACAGGCTGTCCCCAGGGGACGTAGAAGCAGGTGACCAGGTGTCTTCTCAGAGTCTAAAACCGCTGGAATGAGCAGACATGTTCCAGCAGGGTTGTCCTGGGTGAGGGCTGCATCCAGCCCTCCTCCGGAAAGAGGCCGGTACATATAAATGAAACTCCCCTGGACCACAGCAAGGAGAGGGGGACCTTAATACGCTCTGAGGAATGTGGCCCCCACATGCGGTTCCCTTTCAAGCACTCAGAACAGGGTGCGGACTCCCACGCAGCCACCCTGGGGAGGCAACACTGCCTAGAGAAGTGAGAAGAGCCCAGGGGAGCCCCTCACCCTGGGGCCCACGACTCCCCCGCCATCTTTTAATGGATTTGTTCTCTTCTGTCTGAGGAAAACTTCCCCATCAGGAACCTCACTGCCATCCCTCCCACAGAGAAAATGCTGGGGTCGGTTAGCTTTCTGGAAAACTGGGTGGAAGGGAAAACAGGAGCTGCTGAAGGCAGAAGAGGGAAGGGGGCATCTGGGGTCCAGCAGGGAGGAAGACACCCCTCCCCAACCCAGGAGGAAGGAAGACAGGCCACCTCTGTCCCCATCTCGAAAACACACATGCACACACGCATGCTTGGGAGGGAGGGAGGCAGGCAGGAAGCCCCTTTGTACCCCACAGAGTCCCCCATGGTCACCCCTCCAAACCTCCAGGCTGCCTGGGTAAGTAAACAAGTCCGGGGTGTTTTCTACAGGCGCCCGAGGCCCAGCCCAGGACCAGCCTGGTTCAGCTGTGATGGAAGGCAGGCTCCACACAGGCTTCCAGATGTGAAATGCTAACAGGCTTTAATGGCTTCAACTGAACAGGAAATATTTTCCCAAAGCCAAAAGAATGTAATCTTTTCAGTACAATGTAAAATGCTTTTATTAAAAAGGCACACAGTTGAAATGATAATTTACTGCAGGCTCTAGAGAAATTGCAATCCCTCAACAAACCCGGAACTGAAGAATTCACTGTAAGCATATACTGGCATAGGCACCCTAAAAACAAAAATAACGACATAGCTGAAAGAGTTCTTCTAGGGAGGATATTTAAATTATTCACAGTCTTTGCACCCAAGCACGAGTTCCAGGACTATGTCAAAAGTAGGCTGGGCCCAGGGCCACTGCTAGTCCCCCACGGCCATCAGCCACCACCACTGCTGGGTCCCCCGCTGCTGGTCACTCGGGCCAGGCCTACAGCTCAGGCCTTT